AATCATGATATATGTCCATGATGATGAACCTCCATGCCCAAAGTGGGACACGGAGCCATGTCGCCTGGCACACGCAGCATCACCCATTCCTCTTCTGGATTTCTGGCACGCATGTGTGCGTGACGATCAGCTGACCTTTTTGCATGTGGCAGTGCCGGAAACTAGAAGAGCTGGTCTTCTGTTTTCCTGTGTGACCATGTGTGCCGACCAGCTGACCGTAGCGTTGTGTGCCAGAAACCCGGAAGAGTAGCTGGCTGAAACCAGAAGTTCAGTAGCTCCTCTTCCAGGCTGCGGTCCAGGCGCGCACACGTTCCCTTTTTGGCAATCAGTGCCAAAAAGGTTCACCATCACTGATATATGCAATATAAAGCTATCATCTAACCAAAAACATAAGCCCAACTGAATTTACTGCTATGTTCCCTGCAATTGTTTGAGATACTCATAGGTTTGTGATTTTTTCCCCCGTTGCTTGTGAAGGCACAGATATGCTGCAGAAGGGAAGATCTGACAACTGGTGAAGTCAAGGATCAGGTAATCAGAAACATTTGGGTATAATTGAAGGTTCTCTGAGATCCTAACCCTTTTTATGTCCTCTCCTCCCTAACTCCCGTCTCCACGATAGTGAACAGAACTTTGGATATGTATGTTTGAATAATCAGCATGGATTCTCCAGCCTGCCCTGAGGATTAATGTGCTAATGCTATGTTTTAATCCCTTTCTCTAAAATCTGTGGGTCTTTAAAGTTCTTAATTTTGGATATATCATGTCTCATAGTTAAATCAGCACAACATTCTATGGCCACTGGTCAATAACGAACAAAGTTCAAACCACACAAATTTGTGGTTACAGTTAATGTGAGCATGGGATTATCTTTTCTTTAGTAAACCATGAGAGAAGGGCTTTTTAAAGAGATTACCTATATGTCTGCCATAGTAAGTATACAACTTTTATTTATTTTTAAAAAATCATTATGGTTGATTTTTTTCCCTAGAAAATTAGACTTAGAATAATTTGCTTTGGTTATTCGATCTGTACATTTCAAAAGAAATGTTAAAATATGTATTAGTTAACATGCATACACAATCATAATGGATAGTCTATTACATTTTTAACAAGGCATTTATTGTGCATATCTTCTCAACTATCAACATTTGACAGTGAATTGGATTGATTTTACATTTTGTTCAAATACTTAATGAGGGGATTTTTTTTGCTGAAAATTCCAATAATTCATACCTGATTATATGAAATTAGGTATGCATAAGTGGTTTAAATACATGAGCTTAGATGCATGTAACTTAACCAGAGATGGATCATAAGGTTGTAGATCTAAGTACACTTACTAGGCAATAAATACACTGAGGTCAGTGGGATTTGCTCTAGAGAAAAGATGCACTGGATCAAACCATAAAAACCCTAAGATATAATGCTCGAAATCATTTCTATTTTTGAGCTATGGCAAATTCTCTATTATGGGTGCATGGTAGAAGTATGTACATCTCATATGTACATGTGTATGTGTGATGTTTATTTCACACACAAAAAAAAAACCAAGAAGGCAAATAAGCAAAAAGAAAAAGAACTGAAAAAAGTAAAGTCAAGAAAAAAAGCAAAATAAAAGAGCAAAAACAAAAACAAAAACAAATGAAAAAGAATAGAAAAAGAATGACTTCCAACTTTCTTTGGTACAGGGATAGATAAAATACATCAAACTCTTAAGTTCACAATAATGTACATTACTTCTATAAACCATACCATTCTAATCTTCAAATCTCAAATTCAAAATTCCAGCAGCTGATGTTGATCACTAAGAACTGAAAGTTAAAGTTCTGATGAAGAGGTAAGAGCAGAGGAAGCTGTTCCTTCCTATTAATTAATCTCAAGGCCAAAATATAAAATAAAATTCTAAACTATTATTCCACTAAAACTGGTTAGATAAAAAGCACAATGCTGGGCCTCCTCAGGGTGCCGTCCGCCAGACAATGTCGGCTGGCGACCCCCAGGGGGAGAGCCTTCTCTGTGGCGGCGCCCACCGTCTGGAACAACTTCCCCCCAGAGATACGTACAATAACAGACCTCCGGATTTTTCGTCGGGCCCTGAAAACCTATTTATTTCAACTAGCTGGGCTGGCTTGAGTTAAATTTTAAATTGATTTTAAATTGGGTTGTTTTAATTTACGGCCAAAATATTTAATTATTTTAAACTGTTTTTAAATTTTGTATGTTCTGTTTTTTACTTTGGCTGTTCACCGCCCTGAGTCCTGTTTGGAGAAGGGCGGTATAGAAATGTAAAAAAAATAAAATAAAAATAAAAAATAAATAATTGTGGCTTGGGAAAACAGTTTTTGTATTTATAGGTAGTCCTCAACTTTCAACCATAAGTCTGCAATTACAAATTACAAATTCAATCTTGCATAATTAAGTCTGCAATTTCGATCATACATTGTGACAGTTGTAAAGTGGGCCCTAATGTTAGCACATCCAATTTTATTACCTTTTTTGTAAGGTAATAACCAAACCAATTTTTCACTATGGGTCATTTTTTGCCAGAAACCAGAAGTTACTACCAGTTCTCAGGGGGAAAGAAAGTTGTAAATTAGTCATGTGACTGCAGGGGGTTGCAAATGGCCATAAATAAAGGCCCAAACTGAGGTCATGTGACTGTGGGGGAGGACTTAAATGAATTGTTGGTCTGAGCTCTGAGCTTGGCATTTTGGTTGCAAGCGTTTCGTCACCATTTGAGGAGACATCGTCAGTGCGCTTTGAATTGAATTGACAATGCACTGATGATGTCTGTTCAAATAGTGACGAAACGTTTGCAACCAAATTGCCAAGCTCGGAGCTCAGACCAACAGCCCAACTACCAACAGAGCTACTTATATTCAAATACATTTCAACGAGGTCTTAGAGGTCTAAATCCCTTTTTTAGGGGTCTGTTGTAACTTTGAAAAGTCACTAATGACTGTTGTAAATTAAGGATTATTTGGAAATTTCATAAATATGGCCTATTTAAATTTTTATACAGAGCATCTCTCAAAAAGAATTAGCAATATGAATGTAAGAATTCAACACAGATTGCATTCTCAGACCCATTTGTTCAACTGGTCAGAGATGGTATTATAGCAGACAACAAAATGCAGTTGATTTTATACCCTAAAATACAGTTTGGGAATATTCAATTAATCTATAGCTATAAACCAGTGGTGAAATCTAGAATTTGTTACTACCAGTTCTGTGGGCGTGGCTTGGTGGTGGTGGGGTAATGTGGTGGGCATAGCCTTTTTTTTTTTTTACTTTTACTTTTACTTTTAAAACCATTTTTTCTACAACCTCTGGTGAAAAGGTTGTAAAAAAAAATGCTTTCAAAAGGCTCTGATGATCAGGCAACTCAGGGTTTTTTCCTTTTAAATGCCTCTGACGATCCAAGCTGAGTTTTTTAAAAAGCCTCTGCCAATCAGGCAACTCAGTTTGGATTATCAGAAGCATTTAAAAGAAAAAAAGGGGTTTTGTTTTTTAAAAGCCTTTGATGATCCCAGCTGAGCCGCGCGATCATCAGAGGCTTTTTTTTTACTTTTAAAAGCATTTTTTCGGCCGAAGAAGTTGTAGAAAAAATGCTTTTAAAAGTAAAAAAGAAAAGCCTCTGATGATTGTGTGGCTCAGCTGGGTATGGGGGGGCGGGGGGGCGGGATTTTTGCTACTGGTTTTCCAAACCACCCGCCTCCATCGCTACCGGATCGGGCGATCCGGTCCGAACCGGGAACATTTCATCCCTGCTATAAACCCAGATGAGAGCTCAAAATCGACACCAAAGCACATATGCTCTTAGGGTGATTTACTTGAAAATGCACTGATTCTTTCTCCAGCCGTATAACCCCTTTTGTATACAACACTGCTTCTTTTATTCAAACCAATGCAAGCCAATCATTTCCACAGATTCGCTATGGTCCCAGGAGATGGTAGAATGAGAAGAGTAAACAATATCTATTCATAAGTGGCAATGAAGGGAATCTTACCCTGTCATCATCCTCCCACATGAGGATTTTTAAAGAATGCCATCAGTTCTGAATTTAAACAGAGTTGAGAAACAATGCAAAGTTGATTATAAACTTTGTAAAGGCATGTTGATTTGTATAATTGCAGTTTTCCAAATAGTCTGAGTAGGACTCAAGTAGCCCACGGGGGATGCATTTTGGCTCTAATGATAATTGAAGTACTAATTATAGGACTGTTTTTCCTTATGCACGATTAATATAGTGTGTAACAAGATATATTGTTCAGGGACGGCTCTCATGGCAATTCTGCAAATCAACCCACCCTTCAAAATGCTTGTTTCTTAGTACAAACATTTTACAAATACTTGTGGAGGAATAACTGGCTTTGCAATAACATCTATGTAATTGACCCTCTCTTGTTCTGGGTGGTAGTATCTAAACATCTATCAGGGATCCACGTTGAGGATTCAAATCAGGAGTACTCATTATGATACAAATCTTAATACTTGAATGGTAACTTAAATATTGTTAACTTTTACTTATTAAAAAAAAGGATGAGGAATCGGCTTTCTGGTGACCAAGGTGTAAACAACTCAACTTTTAATAACTGTAAAATCTCAGCCATTGAAATCTGAAAGCCACTCCAGCCAATTGATGGCTGCTCCTCACTTTATAGCCTTGGTTGCACACAAAACATTAAATGAAAATTCAAGCTTAGCTTAAGCAAGCTTGAGGTTGCTTAACAGAAAAATGAAAATAAATAAATATGGTGCTACATCAAAATTAGAAGGCAGCGTTTAAGAAAACAAACTTTTGAAAACTTCAATTCAGTCCAAGGGTTAAAATACTAAACAGGAATTAAAAACAAGTGATAGACAAAGCAGAGATCCTAATCTGAATAGGATGCTATTCCCAAGAGCTGATAACATGATTTGTGTGATATCAAAGAACATAGACATCTGAAGAGATGGCAAGAGGCAGCAAGTGATGAGATGCATGCTATGATAGTTTTGTGCAAATTATTATTATTTTATTCCATTTATTTATATACTGGTAAGTGTTTATATCATCCTATTTTCCAAGGGCTCAGGATGATTTAAAGTACAGAGACATACAAATATAGTAATCATTAACTGTACAATCTTGGTAATACCTTTCCTCCACATATAAATGTGTTTTTGTATCTTTTTTTTCTCTTCTCCTTGCTTGCTTTTTCTTTTAAAAAAATAATAAATAAAAATTTAAAAATACAGAATAGAAAACAAAACAATCACGTGCTTGCATTATGATGTGATTCATAACATAATTACATAATTATGTTTTTTGTAAGATGACATTATGATGCAGGTGTCATCATTACGACAGCACTGTGGTTTAAACCAATGCCTTTTCCAAGGAATACAATTTTAACATTCTAGTGTTATTTTAAAGCCTAAAGGTTCAGTTTAAAGATTTAAACTTATATTTTAAAAAAGAATAACTTGCTCTGTGAGCATGGGTAGTCTCCAAATTGGATAAAGTTTGACATAAATAATAAAAGAAGATCTGAGAGATATTCAGAGTAAATACGCAGGATATGATTACAAGCACAAAACATGAGGTAAAGACAAGACAGATTACTAAATTAATGAATTAATTAGCTAATTTATATATATGTTACAATCTCATAAATGGCAAAATAAAATTCTTTTCTATCCTATAGATGGCAAAATAAAATTCCATTTATTAAAATGGAGGCAAGCCTCTTTTCCCCAACATTCATGGTTTATATGCTGGCTTTTTGCTTCTTTATGATGTACCATATGTTTCATAGTTTCCCCAGGAGATGAACAATATATTCTGAATGATGTATCAATGGAGAAAACTGCAAACATAGGCGCTCTAGGTCACTTCTATTCAGCATGACTATTAATGATTAATAATAATAAGAATATTAATGACTTTAGATGCCATTGTGTATACCTAAATCTATGGAAAGCTATATTGCTACAACAAGATGATAGCACTGTGTGGTTTTTAAGCTTATTATAATAAATTCTTATGAACAAGTTATGCCTGTTATTACTGCAAAGGTTGATTAAATAAATATGCTTATTAAATAACTTAATATAATGCTATTAATTCCTAACAATATACTCCAGTCCATCCAATGATTCCTTGGTCACCATGCTTTGAAATTAACTAGCATTTTTCAAAATGTGTAAGCTTTCTCCTTAATATAGGAATGCTATTCTATGACTGTATGATGCAATAATTAACAGTAAATGTTGATTTGATGCTATGATAGCCGTGAATATTAGTATAGGAATCAAAATATTTTTTACTTTATATTGTGCCAATGTTTCAAAATATTATCCTATCATTTTATCAAATGTTTTAGCTTTACTGAATCCATGTATTGGGTTTTATTTCTATCTATATATGTTCTCATATGTAGTCATCCCTCTCCCCACATATATTAGGTTGTAAGAAAACTTATTGAACTTTTGGTTTTTTTCACGATTGCTTCTACATAATTTAAGTTGTTTTTTTAAAAAAATTAGGAATGGTCCCAATCTGCAATTTAAACAGTGAAAAAAAGCACAAAATTTACAGGAGCCAAAACAGGGCAATTGCAGTTAACAGTGCCAAATCAACATCTGTGAAGGCTCTGAATCACATTAGGATCTCACTTAAAACTCACTTAAAATGTTTTCCTTTTTTTTTCAAGAAATACTCTGCATTTATATATTAAAAGAGCCAAGAAATAACTAATCTTGGGGCACTTCCATAACAAGCAACCTTTTTCCACTTTACAATCTCTCATAACCAGATTTGAAGCCAAACTTTTAATTATCTTCACTTCTGCCAGCTTCAAAATACTGAGAACAGGCAGGCCACTAGTAGCCAGTTATTATTATTATTATATTTTGCATATCTAGCCATTTTTGCAAGAACCTGGGGTTCTTGAGGGTTTTTTTTTTGTTTTTTTTTTTGTTTTTGGCATATCCCTCCCAAAAAAGTTGTTACAGGTAGAAATTACCATAGTTTTTTTTTTATTTATTTATTTAAATAGATCTCCTGGTGATCTTCGAAGGATAGTATGGTGGCATTTTCAATTGGATGCTTTTTCCAGTAGTTCGAACCATCACTGCAGGCTGGACTATCACTTTTTTTGGGGGGGGGGGGGTGGAGAAATGAGATTAGGAACCGGAAGAGGCAAAAGTTCAATGAGTTCACTTTTCTCAACAGAAAACATGAAGCCAGCAGGGTTTTCTAATATTGTTGTTATTTTACAGGAAGTATGAAACTGACTAAAAGGATTAGAACTGCCTGGCTTACTAATACATTTACCTGCATTTTTTTCCTATCTTAATTATGGGAAAGCAGACGCTGACCGAGGGGTTACCCGCTTTAGAGCAGTAAGGTGAAACAAGACCAAAGCCAGAAGAAAAAGAGACCCAAGCTGTGCAAAACATGGGTTTGTCTTTGCCCTGGTTTCAGGAAAATTACAGAGTCCAGAAAATATTGGCTCATATCTTAAAAGGAGAACCAATGGTTTGTGAAGAGGGGGTCCTGTATCTTTTCTTATAAGAATACGGTATGCAACCCAGAGCTCCTTGGAAATGCTCTAAGATCGCAGCCTACGTAGGACTACTGCATACACTAGGTGGCAGCACTAAGTTAGTTCTCTTTCTGCAGCCATCTGATTGTTGTCTATGGAGATTCTCAATCATCGGGTCGGAAGGAAGGAAGGAAGGAAGGAAGGAAGGAAGGAAGGAAGGAAGGAAGGAAGGAAGATCAGCATTGCTGCATGGAAGCTAAAATCTCTAGCTATTAATACATAAATATGTAGAAGACAAGAGACTGAGCCACACTATAAAATCACAGGTCAGGCACATTAATGGCAAAATAATTTGGAATTCAAAAATGCAGAATTTTCCTTATTGTAAATCTACTCCTGATATAATATTACACAAAGTCATTACCTGCACCTCTGCTACTATTCTGGCAGTAGCAGCCACCTCCTGTTTAATTTCAGAATGCTCCAAATAACACTAAGTGATCAGAGAACAAAGGTTAAATCTACCAGGAGTCTTTCTTGCACAGACAGGCTTTGGGGAAATAAAAGAGATTTGTGCACAAGAAGATCCTAATGTTCCGATGAGAAGCCAAAACTGTCCCATCTTCAAGAGTCAGGCACATCAAACAGGAACGTTTTCTTCTCCAATTTCCATGGAAGTTAAGAATTTTTCATGGCCATGTTGATGCTTTAGAAAAAGAAAAAAAGAGTCAGTACAATGGATTGTTATTACATATGTATCCAGGACTTCCCCTAAGGAGCAAAGGGCGGAATACACATATAACTAGCCCTAGTAATATCCTATCTAGTTACTGCCCAGGCCCAGACATTATAGATGATAAACGCTGAACTATCTCAAATATCACTTGAACTTTTATTCTTTCAATATAAGGGACCTGGAAAAAAATCCACCATGTCAGATCGCATGAGATGAACAGACACAATAGGAGAGAGGCGGTCCCATAAATAACCGGTGTCATGTAGAGTTTATAGATGACATCTAGTCCAGGGGTGGGTTCTAAATTTTTTTACTACCGGTTCTGTGGGCGTGGCTTATTTTGTGGGTGTGGCTTGGAGGTCATGTGACTAGGTAGGCGTGGCTAGGTGGTCAGAGTCATTTCTGGAAGGTCCTCGCACTTACGACCCGACTCATTTGTTTGCTTTTAACACTGATCAGCTGTAGGACAGCCCTTTGAAGCCCCGCAGCAAGAGTTTAAACAGTTTTTTTCCCTCTAGTCATCAGCTGGGACTCAGGAGGTAGAAATAGATTGGGGGTGGGACCAAATAAAAGGTAAGAATAACATGGGGGGGGTGGGAGAGCGTGGGGGAGAACCAGTTCAGTGACGTCATATCGTCACCGCTACCGGCTCAGCCGAACCGGACCGAACCGGGAGGAACCCACCACTGGTCTAGTCCCTTAAATTGTAGCAGAAATGTACTGGGAGGTAGGGCAGATTGTTAAACCAGAGGTCCCCAACTCCTGGGCCACGGACTAGTACTAGTCCATGGCCCATTAGGAAATGCAAGCAGATGAAGCTTCACTTGCGCAAGCATGGGATCTAGGCAGTGGTGAAATCCAATTTTTTTTACTACTGGTTCTGTGGGCGTGGCTTAGTGAGCATGGTGTGGCTTAGTGGGCATGGCAAGGGAAGGATACTACAAAATCCCCATTTCCTCCCCACTCCTGGGAGAAGGATACTGCAAAATCTCCATTCCCACCCCACTCTGGGGCCAGCCAGAGGTGGTATTTGCTGGTTCTCTGAACTGCTCAAAATTTCCGCTACTGGTTCTCCAGAACCTGTCAGAACCTGCTGGATTTCACCCCTGGATCTAGGTAGGGTGCGAAACACACACACACACACACACACACACACACACACACACACACAGAGTCCATGGAAAAATTGTTTGCCACAAAACTGGTCCCTGGTGCCCAAAAAGTTGGGGATCACTGTATTAAGCAGTAGCATGGTGTGAGTATCACCCACAGACTACCCTGCCTCACTGCATTCTAGACCAGCTATAGAGCTTCTGAATGGTCTTAAAGAGCAGCCCCATGTAGACTGCATTGCAATAGTCCAAAAAGAAAGTGACTAAAGTATGAGTGACCATGAGCAAAGCCTCTCTTTCTAGGAATGTGCATAAAGGGCCCATAAAATGCATTTGTGCACAGTTCTGCTTACATACTGAGGAGTAAGTTCAAGACCAGAAAAACTGCCAAATTGTGCATCGGATCCAATGGACATCCACAGTTAGAATTAGAAAATCTCTGGTCTGGGGACTCTAAAACCCATGGACACTTGGTCTTGCTAGGGTTAGGCTGGAGCCTATTCTTCCCCATCCAAATCCCACAGCTTCCAGGTAATGGAAAAGAGCCTTGGCAGCTTCATTTGGGCACCACAGTGTAAAACATGTACATCTGAGTACTATCAACACACTGATGGGACTTAACCTTTTGTCAATGAATGATGTTACCTAGCAGCTACAGGTAAATAAGGATCAGGACAGATGCACTACCTATATCCTGTGCTATAGATTATTCACAATTACAGTCCATTCCATGTCAGCAGTATAACCTAACTTGAAACCTGGCTACAAAGAAGAGAAAGTTGTAAAAGTGAAAATTGTCCAACTCTGTTGGACTTAGTGATGGCATCTTAGGGAATGAAACTGTTTCTTTCAAAATAGATGGAACTGTCCCTTTCTTAAAGAACCATTCACCACCACATGGATTCCAACCATGTATTATCGCCCAGGAGCTCTTAACCAACCAGGTGAGATAAGGAACTAAAGACAAAAGGTGTGTCGGAACCACAAAAACTGTCCATTTACTCATCTCAGCATCTCAATTCTTCCCATGTACTGTGGAGGCCTTGGAGTTCGCTGAGCTTGGTTGTTTACTTGCGCACATTTCATTACCCAACTTTTGTTTCCTGTTTATAGACAATAGCTTGCTCTGCCAACATTGATAGAGATGTACTTTTGTCCTTGGTAGTTCTTTGATTAGGATATTATTCTCTGCTTGATTCTTTGTCTGGTGATTATTGGGGTATTGGCTGTCAGAGAGAATAGACCTTGGTCTTTTCGTTAGCATTTTTTGTCTCCTTTGAATGGTATGTAAATGTACTTTATGTGTCTATTGATGATCTCATTTACACACCATTCAATTGAGACTCAAACCCCACACACAAACAGAAAGACCAAAAAAACCCACATTCACTAATACTGATAACGTTACCTAGTCAGCTAATGATGTGTAAGAAAACAAAAAGACTCTGAGAGAATCAAGTACTCACTGTTTAACCCTGAGCTACATATATTATCTTTTATTCTTCCCATATAGTCAACAAGATTGTATCTCAGCCAGTTCCAGAGGACCTGATAGCCAGAGTCTAATTCAAACAGTTCCAAGTGATCATTTTCCAATAGATGCCTGAAAAATCCTTACAGGAAATGTTTCCCAGGGTCCACCTTACCTCTGCTCTAGGCACATCTAGAAACTATCAATCAAACCTGAGAAGCCTATGTAATTCTAACAAGAATCCCATCACTTTTATTTCTCCTCCATAAAAGCTGGCTATATGGTCAGCCCAACATGTCCTAAGAATCTACTTGTTTCTGAACTATTAAATCTTCTGAAACTTGAGGATTTGTTTGTAGCACAGTACTTGTCCCACCCCATTCTCCATTTACATTACATAATACGGAGGCATGGAATGACACTGTAGAGCAAACATTCATTAAAAAGCTTTCTTCCTCTAGTAGTAGTTACCATTATTGCACTTTTTATTAATGGATTAGTCTAAAGTATAATGCCATGCAATACCATAACTGATAAAAATTATTACCAATAATAGTCAATATATTTTGATCCTCTTTTATTTGAGTCTTATTTTCATATCATTAAAAGGAAAATAACTGTCAAAAATTAAAATTATTATTGTTATAGATTAGAAGGATCTTCTATAATTAATATAATAATACAATATAATAACTCTTTTAAGGTTCTATAATTTACAGGCCTAATCAAGATATTAATAATGGTATTGTCATAATTAACTTTCATGACCAACCAACTGGCCGTGATCCTTAATACCTCTTAGTTCCTTTACAAAATTGGGCTGAATACAAACTGTAACATTAGAACAGAGCAACTGAAAACAATAGGACTTAATGAGTCATCTGAAGTCTAATTAAAAATATGGATAGCCCAATCCAATGTTTCTTTTACAGCTTGCAGAATAAATAACTACTACCAAATACATCCATTTATTTTTTTTAATAATTAAACACTAATGTATATTTCTTCTAACATCATATAGCTTTCATAAACTATGAAATGATAAACATAAATGATAAACATAAACATAAATGATATTCAACACATGCAGAACACTTATGCTTTTTTATAAAAAAAGATTTACGTGCAGCAGTCCTCAACTTAAAGCCTTAGTTTAGTACCTCTTCAAAGTTACAATGGCACTGGGAAAAAACCTATGAACAATCCTAACATATACTACTATCGCAACCTCCCCATAATGACAAAATCAAGTTCAGGTGCTTGGACCCGGCATATAATTAGGAAGGTTGCAATATTTAGGGTCATTTGTGACTTTTCCAGCTGGCTTCTGACAAGCAAAGTCAATGTGGGGGAAGCCAGATTCTCTTAATAACTCCATGATTCACTTAACAGTTGTAGCAATTTGCTTAACAACTGTGGCAGAAAAAGGTTGTTAATTAAAGTTGCAAATCACTTAAAAGCTGCCTTGCTTAGCAATGGGATCTCACAATTGTGGTCCTAAGATGAGGACTACCTGTACTATTTGCTATTCAAACCACAAAGGCAAATGAAATGCAACTCTGTGAAAGATTTTACAGTGATTATAAAAAGGTGACAGGGCAAACAAAAAAGAAGGTTGGGTAGACTCCAGAAAGATATAGTAAAAAAGGTTGTTCCATTAAAGCAAAGTTGCAAATTGCATATACTGTCTTTAGGATTATATCATGTGTTACTACATGTTTATAATAAACCTGGTAGCAATTTTTATCTGACTTTAGCTTTGTCAAAACTTTAACTTTAATCTAAACTTTTATCTGCTGGTCTAAAAGGCTCATGTAAGTATTTGGATCTCAAAGAGACTACCTGGAGTTTACCCAGTTCTTCAATATCTCTTGCATAATGTTATTATGAACAATACTCATAGATAATGGCTTGTTTATGAAATTCTTACTCCTGTTGGACTGACGTTATTTCGGGCTCATTTGAAAGACAGCTTGCTCTGAAGGCAAGGGAAAATGAAAAATAATAAATACATTTTTGTTTGTTAGATACTTATAAATGCATATTTACTTTAAAAGCAGAACAAAGGCATTTTCACAAGCAAATTTTATCATATATATTATGATGTCTTCATAAATTATCAATGTTCATTAAGGAATGTCTCCCCAATAGTCATCAAAAATGCTTGCCACAAAAATTTTAGGTTGTAGAGTGTTATGAGACTATTTTTTTCTTTTTGCTGTTCATAGCAGCAGACTAATTGGAATATTGGAATCAATTACTGCAAGAAGTTTCAAAAATATTGATTTTAAGAATTTAAATATTGCATTTTAAGAATTTATAGTTGAAATGCTACTCCTATGAAAATGACCTTAGATCATCCTGAATGTATTTATAAAGACTTCTACTTGCCTAAGCATAGATAGGATGAGGTTATAAGACAGTCATATAAATACAGTTTCATCCTTAATATTGGCTGGAAAATGTATTATACAAAATATGTGTATATTAAACTGTATTTTCTATAATTCAGTGAGCTGTTGCACTGATATCACCCATTGTTACCAAATATAGCATTGGATATATGCTATAAGGCACAAAGCTTTAACCAGAGCAGTATGAGATGATAGTCATGACATATTTTCAACCGCTCTGAACAGCTTTGTTGATGCAATCTATCAAAATCTTGCTTGTGGTCATTATCAAGTGTACTAGGATTGCAAGCAGATAGGCAGTTTGCTAAAATTACTTTTGGGCATCATTCAAAATAGATGCATCTTCACAACAGAATATTGCAGTTCAATTTCACAGCAGCAGCATATTCAAGCTTTCTGAAATGGCTACTTCGATCCATAATGTTACCACTATAATCACATAATAAGGTAATATAACATATGCATTTTTCAGCGTGCTCTAAAGCTCATGCAATTGACATGGATACAGCCAGTCTAGCAAAAGATTATTTAGGTTTGCAGTGACTCAGTAGTGATTCTTTCTGTCAGTCAACCCCCATTTTAATAAATTCTATTCAGTAGAGGTTAATAATGGATGCAATGAACAAAATCTGGACTTTTGACAACAAGAAACTTTGCCCCAGGTAACAGACAAATACTGTTATGAATGACATAACAATTGTACATTTTGAACATTATGTTCATGTTATGTACATCTACATATATTTTATAATTTTTATAAGATATAGATTATATGTTTGTTTTATATATGAAAAATTGAGCATTTAATGAACTTTTGACTCAAAAACATTTTCCCCATCAGTTCATTAAACTGAGGGTTCTGCGTAATGCTATGCCACTTTATCTTTTTTGTACATAAAATCAATCTTCATCATAATGTAAAATCCTGGGCATGAATAGAACTACTGTATATTCTCTAAAAACATTACCTACCAGTATTTTCTTAAAGGGACCTAGACTGATTTAGAATACATAAATGGAACCATTTTATCATCCAATTTGCCAAATGTCATACCCAACTCTAGCCTAGCCAATTAATAGGTAATAACTTTCATCTGAACAAAAAATGAGCAAAATTACTGTTTTAAAGAAAAATTCTAAAGCTGATAGAAAACACGTTCATTTAAGAAATAAATTTATCCATATATTCTGGAATCTCCTTTTAAGTAAATGTCTTTGAATATATTCTTTGCATTTTCATTTGTAACAAAGATACAATGGATTTATGGGTTGTTGTTTTTTTATTAAGCTTATATGCTGCCCTCTCTCTGGAAAGGACTCAGGGCGGCTCACAGCAATAAAAACAGATAAAATCAATATTAAGTGTTAAAAACCATTAAAACTCCCCTTAAAACCCCTTCAGTTCAATCTGGCCTGGCGAAATAACCATGTCTTAAGGTCATGGCGAAAAGAGCGCAGGTCAGGGGCCACCCGGAGCTCCAGGGGGAGTTGATTCCATAAGGTAGGTGCACCCACAGAGAAAGCCTGTTCCCTAGGAGTCGCCAGATGACACTGCCTGGCCGATGGCACTCCAAGGAGGCCCTCCCTGTGGGAACGCACCGGGCGATGGGGAGCTGTCGCTGGCCACAGATGGTCCGTCAGGTACCCCGGGCCTAGGCCATGTAGGATTTTATAGGTAATAACCAGCACCGTGAATCTCACCCGGAGGGCAACCGGTAGCCAATGCAGGTCGCGCAGGAGGGGTGTAACATGAGAGTGTCGGGACACTCCCATCACTACCCACGCAGCCACATTCTGCACCAGCTGAAGCCTCCAAGTGGTCTTCATGGGCAGCCCCATGTAGAGAGCATTGTAGTAGTCGATCCGGGAGGTCACGAGCGCATGAGTGACTGTGCGGAGGTCATCACGGTCCAGGTAGGGACGCAATTGGCGCACCAGATGAATCTGTGCAAATGCCCCCCTGGTCACGGTCGCAACATGATCTTCCAAAGTCAACCATGAATCCAGGACGACGCCTAAATTGCGTGCCCTTTCAACAGGGGGCAACACCTCACCCACTATGACCAACGATGGAATATTCCCTTGGAACCAAGATGCCGGTACCCACAGCCACTCTGTCTTGGCAGGGTTGAGCTGAAGCCTGTTCCTCCCCATCCAGAGCCGCACCGCTTCCAGGCACCGGGACATCACGTCGAGGGCATCACTGGGCTGGTTCGGGGTGGATATAAAAAGCTGGGTATCATCAGCATACTGATGATACCTCACCCCGTAACCATGGATGATCTCCCCCAGCGGCTTCATATAGATGTTGAACAAAAGGGGAGAGAGGACCGACCCCTGAGGTACCCCACGTGAGGGACCTTGAGGCCGACCTCTGTCCCCCTGCCAACACCGCTTACGCATGCTCCGAGAGATAGGAGGTGAACCACCGAAGAACGGTGCCTCCCACTCCCAACCCCTCAAGGCGCCGCAGTAAGATACCATGGTCGATGGTATCGAAAGCCGCCGAAAGGTCTAATAGGACCAGGACAGAGGAATATCGCTTGTCCCGAACCCTCCAGAGGTCATCCACCAGCGCAACCAATGCCGTCTCCGTGCTGTACCTGGGCCTGAAACCCGACTGGTACGGGTCCAGATATAATGTTTCATTCAGGACCAATGGGAGCTGATGTGCCACCACACTCTCAACAACCTTTGCCATAAAGCGAAGGTTGGAGACAGGACGAAAGTTATTCAAAGTAGCCGGATCCAGGGTAGGCTTCTTGAGGAGGGGGTCTCACCACCACCTCCTTCAAGGCAGCCAGAAAGTGCCCTTCACCCAAAGAAGCCGTAATCACTGCCTGGATCCAGCCGCGTGTAACCTCCCAGGCCAAATAAACAAGCCAGGAGGGACATGGGTCCAGCACACACGTGCTGGCCCTCAGCTTCCCCATGATCCTGTCCACTTCCTCGGGAGTAACAGGATCAAACTCTTCCCAAATCACCAGACCCGTCGTCCCCTCCCCGACTGACCCCGCCTTGTCGGAGTCCAGCTCCTCCCAAATCTGAGCGATCTTACCCTGCAGATATTTACTAAATTCCTCGGCCCACCCCCTCACAGGGTCCTCCCCCGCTCCCTGATTCAAAAGGGAGCGGAATACCCTAAATAGGGCAGCCGGGTGGTTCTCTGCGGATGCGATGAGGGCAGAGAAGTGAGCACGCTTCGCCGCCTTCATCACTACCAGATAGGATCGAATAAAAGATCTCAGCTCTGCTCGGTCAGATTCGGAACAGCTAGATCTCCAACAGCTCTCCAGACCTCTCCTCCGACGCTTCATCTCCCGGAGCTTCTCAGTAAACCAAGGGGCCAACCGGGATCTGCGTCGGGTCAGAGGTCGCAAAGGCCCGACCCGGTTGAGAGCCCCGGCAGCCGCCTCTTCCCAGGCATCCACCAGAGTCTCGACCGGGGCATGGAAAAGAGAGAGAGGGATAGTCCCAAGCTCCGTCTGGAACCGCTCAGGGTCCATCAGGTGCCTGGGGCGGAACCAGATGGTCGGTTCTGCCTCCCAGTGGCAGGGAGCGGCAAAATGGAAGTCCAGCCTAAGGAGATAGTGATCGGTCCATGACAGGGGTTGGATAACTGGCATACCCCCACCAAGCTCACTACACCACTGCTCCGAGACAAAAACCATGTTGGGTGTGTCCCCCCCACATGAGTCGGGGCCTGTATTATCTGGGTCAGGTCCATGGCTGCCATGGAAGCCATGAACTCCCGGACTGCTCCTGACGCCACCCCCAGGGATGGTAGGTTAAAGTCCCTCAGCACAATAAGTCTGGGGAACTCAACCACCAACCCCAATATGGCGTCTAGCAGCCTGGGCAGGGCCTTTGATACGTAGCTGGGAGATAGGTACATAATCAACAGGGCCAACTGACTTTGCGGTCCCCATCTCATAAGAACGGACTCACAGCCGTCTATCTGAGGAGCAGTGACCTCCCGCGGATCATGGGTCTCCCTAATTTTGGTGATATAAAAGCAGTAAGTGGATGCATCCAAACTAAAGACAACTTGTTTGTTTTTAATTCACTTGTAAGATTCCTTCTTTACCCTCAACTATCTGTATTAGGGCAACTTATCTAGTCTTAATATCTCCAAAGTTACTGTTATTCAAACAAAGCCTTAAAAGTAAAGATTCCCCCTTACATGCGTGCTAGTTGTTTCCAGTTCTAGGGGCGGTGCTCATCTCAGTTTCTAAGCCGAGGAGCCAGCACTGTCCGAAAACATCTCCGTGATCATGTGGCTGGCATGACTAAATGGCGAAGGTACACGGAGCACTGTTACCTTCCCACCAAAGTTCTCCCTATTTTTCTACTTCCATTTTTTACATGCTTTAGAACTGCTAGGTTGGCAGAAGCTGAGACAAGTAACAGGAGCTCACCCCGTTATGCAGCACTAGGGATTCAAACAGCTGAACTGCTGACCTTCTGACTGACAAGCTCAGCGTCTTAGCCACAGAGCCACCACGTCCCTCAAAGCCTTAGGGATTACCAATTGTGCACCATGTCCTAAAAATAACATTTTACCTAGCAGTTATAATTAGACTGAACTAGGATGCTGCTGAAGTACAATTCCCACAATCCCCCAGGCCACTCTACAGAAGTGCCACTGAGAATGGTGAATATTACTCCTATGTAATATTATGTAGCAGTAATATTCACTATTCTTAATGACACTTCTGTGTAGTCCTGTATAGGATTAACATGAATTTTCTTAATAGTTAATCCTTTTTAAGAATGAAAAAGGAATATAGTTTATTATCAGAATTCTGTCTTACTTTGCTGATGCCTCCCTGAGCTCTTCATCCAGTCTGCATGAGTAAAGGTTATTGGTGAAGGAGAAGAAGCAAGCGGAACATAAAATAAAAGCAGGGAAAAGCAGAGTGTCAATCAAGCAAGGAACATGCTTTTGAAATTATGCACCAACAAAGTATTTTTTTCTAATGTGTTACTGATTTCATCTCTGTGTGTGTGTGTGTGTGTGTGTGTGTGTGTGTGTGTGTGTGTGTCTAGTCCATGTGTAGGCAGATCTTGTAAAACTAGCAGGAGTTTGCAGCATGCATGCTGTGCAAAGCTGACAAAGTGATTGAAGTTAATTCCAGAACAGGCCAAATTAAGAAAATTTATAACTGATCTCAATAGTTCATGCGTGACATTCATTACAGAGAGCTATGGGATCTTTTTAAATGTCAGCTGCTGAAATCCTCTACTGCCTCAGCTATCCTCAGTCATTTAAAAACATCAGCACAGGCTGCAGCAGAGCAAGGGTTTTACCTTACTCTTCTCTGAATGGATCGCTCTTCGTCATACCTTTCAAGATAAAAATGGGTGAAGGACAAACATACACAAGGTCAAGTAATATGCAGACATGTATCACCTGTATCACCTTCACATCACAAGGAACTATTCCCAATGTCAAGTTGAAGTGCAGAGTCAGCACTGAGGCTCTTGTATATGCACCTCATGTCAATGCAAATTTAAGCTACAATGTCTATTTCATTATGCATAGTTTGATCCTTTGGCCCTTATTCAATGGGCTCCAGACTCGCTTTGTTATTAGTGGGTTGGCATGTTCACACTGAGAACTACTATGCGCAGTGAGAGAACTGGTAAAACCATGAAATGTTCTGGATTTTCGCCCTCTTGGCACTGTCCAGCTACATTGAACTAATATCCTATCATCTTTAGCAATTCCTGAAAGTTTTGGACAGGAGAATAATTTATAAAACATAGAGTCCCCAAATCAGAAACATTGATGTGTCCCCAAAACATCAGTGCTCATGAACATGAACACTTTGAGAATTTAATCTTCACTTTCAGTGAATAAAATATATTCCCATTCTACAATGTCTCGTGCAATTCTCAAAAATATTTTGAAAACTATTAATTTTTTATTCCAAACAGATGGTATGAATAAATTAGTGAGGCAATAACACATTGGAATAGATCCTTGGATCTTTCACAGATTCATAGAGTTGACAGATAACAAAGAGGCCATCTAATGCTGCTTAGTGCAGGATCTACGACAGCATCCTGATAAACAATTAGCCAGCCTCTGTTTGGAAACTTCCAGTAAAAGAGAATTCACCACTTCATGTGGCAACCTGTTACTTGGTTAACAACTGAGGCTGTCATGAGTTTCTCCCAACTTCTAGCCTGAATTTTCTTCCTTATAGTTTTATCTAATTGGTCTTGACCCATCTCTTTGAGGTAATTGAGAATGAGATCACTGATTCAACCTTCAGATATTTGAAGAGTGCTTTATCACCTCAATCACCTCTTCTATAGGTTAAATTTATTCTTATTTCTTAACCATTCCTCTTTTGTTTTCTTGGCTTGGCTTTCTTTATATAATAAGGAACCATATTATAATATAATTGTGTTTTTAAATTTTAATCAAGTAAACAGCATAAACAATTATTTCTAGTGCTGTTCAGTTTTAATCACAATGTTGAGTACTTTGTAAATATTATGTATTATTTAGATAAAATTAACTTTCCTTAAAAATAGCAATCCTTTTGATTTATAGTAGTAACTTATCTCATTATTATTTTCCAAACGCTCTTCACTTACTTGACAATACTTTCTGGGACATTTACATATTCCATTGGAATTAGTTCATTAAGGTCTGCCAAAGTGTTGACGTATTGTATCTTATTACTGAATTTTGAACTGAAACACAAAAAGCACAATTCACTGGTTAAGCAATATATAAAATAAAATATAAAATTCATCTCCATGTTAACTAATGAGCTGCTAAATTGCAGGCTAGGGTAGGAATGATCTTTAGTGACCTTTCAAAGTTACTGAAAGGCACTGAAAAAGTCACTTACGACTGGTCCTCACATTTACAACAATTGCAGCATCCCAACGTGATCAAAATTTGGGCATCTGACAACCAGCATGTATTTACAATGGCTGCAGTGTCCTAGCATCATGTGATTGCCATCTGCAATTTTCCCAGCCAGCTTCCAACAAGCAAAGTCAATGGGGGAAACTGGATTTGTTTAACAACTGCACGATTTGCTTAACAACTATGACAAAAAGGTCATAAAATCAGGTGTGATTCATCTAACAACTGCCTTGTTTAGCAATATAAATTCTGATCTCTTTTGTGTCCATAAGTCGAGGACTACCTGTACTGTCTTCAAATATCACAGTAATTTATACGAACCTCATCCAAGATAGCCTACTTAATTTGTTAGGTGAGACCTAGGCAGAGTCTTCTTATCTCTTAGTTTGTATAGAAAAAGAACAAGCACTCGTTTTGCCTGCACCAACCTATTAAATACTGCATAAATTATTCTGTGATAATGCCATATATAGTTATAAGTTAAAATGTAATTATTATAAGGGAATGATAAATTTATTTTTTATTAATGTTACTCATGGTAAAATTAAACAAATATATTGATCATTTTAAAGAGCCTTATCAGCACAAAGCTGAATCGGAAGCTGTTTCTTTACTTCCCCAATTGCTTATCTCACAATCAAAGCAGTTCCTGATCATGTAAAAACTCAGCATTTTAGAAAGTCCGAAAGTGATAACGTCTGACCTTATAAATGGCCGTGTGACAGCTAGAATTGTTCTTATAAACCAAGAAGGGTGAACTATGATGAATGATTTCAAATTCTTCCTTAATCTGCATTTAAAAGGAAATATTACAGATTAACAGAGTTGGAAAAGACCTTGGAGACCCTACACCATTTCTGACAGATGACAGTCCAGTCTCTTCTTGAAAGCTTCCAGTGATGAAGCTCCCACAACTTCTGAAGGCAAGCTGTTCCATTGATTGATTGCTCTCACTGTCAGAAAACTTCTCCTTATTCCTTGAATCTCTCCTTGTTCACTTTCCATCCATCATTCTTTGTCTGGCCTTCAAGTGCTTTGGAAAATAGCTTGTCTCCTTCCTCTCTGTGGCAGCCCCTCAAATATTAGAACACTGCTATCCTGTCTCCCCTGGTCCTTCTCTTCAGTAGACTAGCCATGCCCAGTTCCTGCAACCATTCACCGTATGTTTTAGTCTCCAGTCCCCTAATCATCTTGGTTGCTCTTCTCTGCACTCTTTCTAGAGTCTCAACATTCTTTTTATAGTGTAGTGACCAAAACTGGATGCAGTATTCTAGGTGTGATCTTACTAAGGCTTTATAGAGTTTAGAGTTAGTTTCTCACTTGATCTTGATTGTATCCCTCTGTTAATGCAATTTAGGATTGCAATGGTTTTTTTGGCTGCTATCGCATACTATTGGCTCATATTTAATTAGTTGTCCACTAAGACGGCAAGATCCCTCTCACAGTTACTGTTATTTAGCCTGCTTTCACCCAGTCTATATGTGTACTTTTGGTTTTTCTTGACTAAGTTTTCTTGCCTAAGACTTTACTTTTCTCTACATTGAATTTCATTTTGTTAGATAGGGCCCAGTGTTCAAGTTTGTCAAGATCAATCTGGATCTTGAGCCTATCATCTAGGGTGTTGGCTATTCCTGCCAGCTGAGTATCATATACAAATTTGGTAAGTTCCCCTTCTATTCCCTCATCTAAGTCATTTATGAAGATATTGAAGAATACTGGGCCTATGATACTTTAAGTCTTCAGTATGAAACACATTGGTTGAGAAAAATGACAGTCACATGTTCCACAAGTATAGCACTATCACACACTGATTCACACATTTTTGGCATGCTTTCTTAAATGTATTCTTAATCTTCAGTGATACTCACAAGCAACAGCTTGCATTTAAAAAGAATGGGGCAAGAGGATTTAAAATAGTAAATAGACTAAGAAAAATAATAATTAGAAAATATAAGTGATCCACAAACCGCCTGTCAATCATCTGGTAGCATCTTTTCATCCATCCAAGTCCTGGCATTCTTCTCCTTGGGGTTGCTCCATTTAAGTAAACAATCATATAGTCTTCAGCAACCATGAGCTCCAAAGTACTTATTACATATCTCAACAAAAAGAAGGAAAAGAAAAAGAAGTGGGGAGAAATAATATTTTCACAAGCATTTTTTTTTTCCTTTTAAGAACCTATGCCAGTATTTTTTTAACCATAGGAACTTTTAAATATTAACTTTAAGATATGTGGACTTCAACTGGCTGGGGAATTCTGGGAGTTGAAGCTTACACATCTTAAAAGTTGTTAAGGCTGAGAAACACTGCCCTATGTTTTAGCACTTAAGCAAATACATAATTTCCAGAAACAAAATTGGCAGTTGAGGGAGTTCTTTATTAAGTAACCTACATAGTACAGGTCATACTGTCCCTCCTTTGGGAATGTGAAATATTTAAATAAGAAGCCCATGTTAATTTTACTCTTCAGGGCATGAAAACTGCAGTATAAGTAAATGATTGCACTCACTCCATTGGCAGACAATTTAGGAGCATTTCAGGGACAGGATTCAAAGCAAGAATATAGTCTGAAAATTCAGACAGAACTCCTGACCTATGTGGCTTTCCAACAATGAGAAATTATAGTTTTATAGCTAGTCCTCAACTTATTACCATTCGTTTAGTGATTGTTCAAAGTCACAACAGCACTGAAAAAAACTATGACCACTTATCAGATTTACAATCCCTGCAACATTTCCATGGTCACGCGATCAAAATTCAGATCACAGCAACTGGTTAATATTTCTGATTGCTGCAATGTCCCACCTTTTGTGACCTTCCGACAAGCAAAGTCAATGGGGAATTCATTTAACAACTGTGTTACTAATTTAACAACAGCAGTGATTCACTTAACAGTTGTGGCAAGAAAGGTCGTAAAATGGGGCAAAAAGTATCGCTTACCAACATAAATTTTGAGCTCAATTGTGGTAAGCAGAGGGCTATCTGTATTATGGAATTACATAGGAAGGTTAGGGGCAGTTCAAGAAAAACTTTCTTTAAATATCAAGGCTTAATTCAGGCTTAACTATGCAAGGCTTAACTATGGCAAAACAGGAATCACTTCCCTATGGCTTCTTTCCATTGTAGCAGGGGTGAAATGCTACCAGTTCACCCCGGTTCGGTCAAATCGGTAGTGATAAAAATTACCTGTTTGGGCGAACCAGTAGTAAAAAAAAAGCTACCAATTCAGTCGAACTGGTAGTTTAAAAAAGCTACCGGTTCATCCGAACCGGTATTTCCAAAGATCAGCTGTGCCGCACAGTTTATATTTGCTAGAAAGCAGGAAATCCTGCTTTCTAGCAAAGCTAAATTGCGCAGCACAGCTGTTCCCTTCCCCTTGCTGTTCTACTTACCTAGTGAAGTCTTCTATTTCCGCATATGTTGCGCATGTGCGTGCAACATACTTTTGGCGCACACTGCATATGCATGCACAGCGTCCTTTTGGCGCATGCTGTGCGTGCGCGGCCAGCAAACTGGTGGCAAACCAATTCAGATTTCACCATTGCCTTGTAGTATATTTTATTTTATTTCATTTTATTTTATTTATACAGACCAAATTTCTGTTTCCCTCAAAAGAACGAAGCAACAAAGGAACTCATTTTAACTCTGCATTTATCTCTTAATGAAAATCATCTATTTTACCATATGAAAGAGTTTTACTACAATATTTCCACACTCACAAGAAAAGGTTTTCCATGACATACGTATAATCCATTTGACTGTTATCCGGTAGAAAACATGCAGCAAATACAATGATGGCATTCAAGCCATCACCATAGTATCCTGTGGAGTCAAAAATATATGTCTCACAAACAGTTCTTAACACAATAGAATTGGCAGGTTTCATAAGCAATTGAACCCCCCTATTACCTGTTGCATAATTCAGGGCCAGGGGGCATAAGTATCAAATACGCTAAAGCAAGTTGGGAAGCAAACCAATAGCATAGTGGCATATTTGGTAACATTTTAATGAGAAAAGCAACCTGGGAATCTCAATGCAAAGTATTCCACAACATTGGACCATAGACAAGGCTACTTCCAAACCTGAATGTCTCATGATATCCTCCTATTTGATGTAAGAATTTCCCAGGTGAGGTTTCTCATTTGGAGAATTGATAGCTACGTCTGTTATGAAAGTCTCAATTCAAAATAATTCTAGAAATTACAAACTCTAATAAGTAAGTAGAGTAAATGAAAAAAAAAATAATGGAAAGAACAGATGCTGCTAGTCCTGAAAAGCTTGAACTCATACAGTTCTGCATACCTACAGGACCCTACCCAGATCCATAGGCCTGTTCACTCATCAGGCAATCCACAAGAATTGCCTAAACATGGATGAAACACTTAGCAGGCTGGCATAGAGATACTGGTGATATAAACCACTGCTACACATCCCATGTCAGGCCTAAATTGTAGCAGTTAAGCACTGAAAAAGAAATAACTTTTCTCTTTCAAGACATGTGTTTTGCTACAAAATAAATACAAAATCTTAGTCTCAGCACACCCACGCCTGGTCACAACATATTGGTTTAAATGACATGTAGGGAGAAACTTGCAGTAATAGACATCTTTAAACCATACCTTACAATAGCCTCAGTAAATCTGGCTATGCTTGTGATTGCACATTGTATTAAACCATATTCTTTTTTAACCATGAATTGTTGAACAAACCACAATGACACCCATGGATTCACACATCATACTAAGCTGCAGAGCAATGATAGCCAGCTTTTCTAACTGAAGATTATGATTGGTACATTGGAGCTGGGCTGGGTTTAATTAAAAACAAATTAATTAAATAAAATCAATACACTATTCTCATTATTTTAATTACTTCTCCTTTGGAGGCAGCTTCCAGAGATTCTGAAGCTGTCCCAGTACTGTAGCTTTCAGGGGGCATATGCTGCTATGGGTGTTTACATTCCACCATAAACCATAAAAAGAGCCTTGGTACTACAGTGGTTTAAAGCACCCTGTTATTAACACAGCTGCCTGCAATTTACTGCTGGTTCGAATCTCTCCAAGGCTCAAGGTTGACTCAGCCTTCCATCCTTTCTAAGGTAGGTTAAATGAGGACCCAGTTTGTGGGGGCAATAAGCTGACTTTGTATAAATATACAAAAGTATGAAGGCTATTGCTGAATGCACTGTAAGCCGCCCTGAGTCTCCGGAGAAGGGCGGCATATAAATCAAATTTAAAAAAAAAAACAAAAAACTATGGTATACAAACCATAGCTGGTTTCACACCACATATTAAGTTCAAAGAAAACATTCAATAAGATGAAATGTTCCTGTAACATACAGGCCTGCAGTTGTACCATGAACACTGAATATATTGTGCTTTCTTCTCTCATTTTTTTCTTTTTAAAGCTCTGTCTTTCCTTTGGAAGTGTGAATCAGAGATCTGGAAACTGGAGCATATCATGCCCAGAATAAAATGATTTAATGACTCATCAACTCACATATTTCACATCAAAAGTATTCTGTTGTCATAGATACATTACAGAGTTTTCAGTAGCGAAGGAATTAATTCAATAATTCACAAATTCAGTTCTGAATTATTCAAAGGAAACATATTCTAAATTTATGTCAGATGTGGAAGACCGTTTACAATTAGGATACTTTCAAATGTTTTCTAATTACTCTATACTAGTATAATTAATAAAACAGATTTTTTTTCTGTACCTCCATGAGAAATAACCTTTTTAAAAGGTTCAATTGCTTTCATATCAATCCTCTGCTCCTGGTCTCCAATAACAACAGTTCTCCATAACCTGTTGTCTTCCCGTTCCTCTTCAGCAGTATATTCTGGGATGGATTCAGATTCTTCTTGAGAAGGTTCTTTAATGGCTGGTTGCTCTTCTGAAAATACAAGAATAAAGGATTTAACAGTCTTTAGCAATAGCAATAGCAATAGCACTTAGACTTATATACCGCTTCATAGTGCTTTTACAGCCCTCTCTAAGCAGCTTACAAAGTCAGTATATTGTCCGCAACAATCTGGGTCCTCATTTTACTGACCTTGGAAGGATGGAAGGCTGAGTCAACCTTGAGCCGGTGAGATTTGAACTGCCAAACTGCAGCTAGCAGTCAGCTGAAGTAGCCTGCAGTACTGCACTCTAACCACTGCGCCACCTCAGCTTTAATATAAGAAAAGCCTGTTTCATCCAGTAACAAAATTGAATTTCTGACTGTAACTCTGAAATCAATTGTACAATTCATTGAATGACTTTATTCAATTCAATGTTGGATTATTTGTAGGAACAATGTAATCTGTGAAAAAAATCATTGGATAGTCAAATAATTATGAAGAAATGAGATATATAAAATGGTATTTAGATTCCTTTGGCATGATGGAAAAAAAGAGAAATCCATAGTTCTAAAACAAAACACATATTACATTTTAGGATTGGAGTTAGATACTATATAAGTATCATCCAGAATGTATCCTCCAAAGTTTATACTTGCATCTGGAATCTTTAAAAATAACTCAACTAGAAATACGATTATTCTTAATATTACAATTTTTCTTGCTATCCAATTAAACAGATATACCATTTAATATTTCAAAACTATTGTATGCAAATAACCAACAGCTGGCTCTACAATTTGATAACAATCTATATTACACACACACATACACACATATTAGTGTGTTCTGCTTTTCTTTAGAGCTGTTCATTCTTATACTGCATATTTGTCTTCCTGAGCTGACAGAGAAAATAATAAAATTTCATGCCAAAGTGTTCAACCCTGCCCCCAATAAAGAGGTAATCACTGCAAATTTACTTTTACCAAATTAAACTCATTACCATGTCCAGCATATTCTAAAGAATCTCCTTCGTCTGGCGTGTCCAGATCATCTACATTAATATCAATTTCATCTGGAGTGTCCAGGTTATCATCAGAAAGGACAGATCCTTCACTCTGGTCCAAAGAGAGATTGATATTTGGAGCAGTGAGCTTTATTCTTCTGGGATGAGAGCCATTAAGGTCTAGCGAATTGGGAGGTTCTGAATAAGCACAAAAAGAGAAGAATCTCTGTTTTAGGGTAAAACTATTATTCCAAATAGCATTTAAATTAATTTGACTTTTGAAAAATTACTCAACCTGTCTCATAGTTGTATGTGACTCCAGAAAACAAGAAATAGGCCTAGGTGAAGTGGGCTTGGACCTGGATGAAGAGCTTCATGATATGGAAGGAATGAGGTACCAACCTGAGCTACCCTTGACAAGGATCTTCTCCCCATTATCAGGATAAATTACACCATTTGTTCTGATGGATGAACCCATTTCAGAGAGAAGAGGAACAAGATTCTTTTTGTTAGCACAAAAAGGCAATGTATGTTTCAATTAGGTGCTTCTCACTGCTACATCTCCCTTGACAGGTATTTGTCTTGAAGTCCCCATCAGCTACAGCAAGAACCAGTGGAAGCAATGAAGGACCAAAGTGAAGTAACACAGCCATTTCATCCTTAGAAATGCATGGGCTGCTTCACTGCAACCTTCATTATCGCAAAGCATTCTTATGAAGACCTGGACCCAATATTTAATAGCAGATACAGAAGATACTGTATTTACAATTCAAGTAAGGATAACATTTCAATTGGAGCAGAATGCTGTTGCCAGCCAACCTATGTCTATTTTTGTTACTTCTGATAAGGCATCAGTTCCCCTCTAATTAACAGAACAAATATGAAGATTTTATACACAACTGTAAAAACCCCCTTTCCCGGTTCTAATGGTATACTTTTCCTGAAACATGATTACTCAAATCCTAGGCAGTTGCCATTTATATCTTCCTGGTCTTGGATATAATGCAATGGCTGAGGAATAATCTAATATGTCAAAGACTTCTTTTCTAACTGATGACACCTTAGGCAGCAATTTTAATTGTGTTGTTTTCACTGGTAAATAGAAGCTAAATCTGTACAGGCTGAAGTGAAGAAAGTGCAGTGTAGCTAATTATCATATGCAGCAAGTTCATTTGCAGCCTAATGAAATTAAGCAGCGTAGAAAGTAGATGAGAACTGCAAATGATGATCAAGGGAACCATGGAATTAATTAAATATCAAAATTAAACCATTTTTATCCCAAATAAATATTATCAGTCACAGTACAGAAATAGTTCACTCAGTGAATAATTAAATGCCCCAGGAGAGAATGAAACTTTTAAGAAGCCAATTAAAATGTACACTCACCAGGTCTCATCTCTATTGCAGTAGAATCTAGCATGGCCTCATTAAGGATATCCATTCCCACATCCTCTGGTACCAATCTAAAACATCAAGACAAACACATATGTTGTTGTTTTCTGTATTTGAAGAATCAAAGCACTCTAAGTAAAGATTAACTGTTCTCTGTCTGCCCAAGGGGAAACAGATGCAGAGACCTGAAGAAGTTTGAAGAGAATTTGGCTTTGCTAAAAGAATAGAGACTTTTTGAGATGATTAAGTTTCAAAAGAGATTATGCTGTCTCCAAACTTCAATATTTGCATGCAAAATTAATTATAATTTTTCTGACAATGAAAACAAATCCTGACTTGGAAAATTCTGCCACAAATGAGAATTGTGTTTTGTTCTGAGCTTACAGAATATCCCTGCCAGTTGTTTCTTCCCACCCTTCACTTTGTACAGAATAATAACAACATTATTCCAACCATTATGCTCAGTTGTAGTCTCCATGGAGATCTAATGTTAAACAAGACACACATCCTCTCCATATGCACAATGCATCCATGTGTTAACATTTCTCCAGCTACACCATCTACACCTGCAGCCTTATCAAATGCAAATCTTGCATGGGAGCATGCTCATCTTTTAGTTGAAGCAGCAGCCAGCGTCCAGACTGCTTCCCTAAATAATGGATTTACCAGTTATTTCATGTTACTGTCTGAATGAAAAACTCGTCTGTGGCATCAAATTCCACTAAACCCAGATTTAACTTACTATTTGATTGTACCTGGATCCAAACTGAGAGCTATTGCTGAAGACCTTGAACTTTTCTAAATAAATAAGATCACTTTATAAACTCAATAAATTAAGGTTTTCAGAGATTTATGCCCACTAGGATTTTGTGATAAAAACTATTACAGATTAATGGGCATTTTTAGATTCTTAACATAAAATCAGCCTTGGTTCATGCCCAAGGCCTATCTAATCCAACAATCTTTTTGATGGTAACCCATCAGATGCCTCTGGGAAGTGTCAAGCTGTTGCTGAAGGCTCAATAATTCTTAATATCAAAATATATAGGCAAGATATTTATCAAAAAAAATGTAATTTTTTTTTAAAAAGTAAATAATGCCTTTATATAAATCATCTTTGTATGTCATAAAATGCACTCTTTTAACCTCAGCCTTCCCTAGTTACCATTTGTTTTTTAAAGTCCTTAAAAAGTTCTCATTGCTCAACTAGCTTAACTCTAAAAGCCAATCCTTCCCTTCCATGCTGAAAACTCCACCACCTCTCCAGCTCTTCAAATCCTTTATTTTTTTAAATATTATTTTGGAATAATCCAAGGACTATTTAAAAACAAATGATATATAATGGGTGAAAAAAATTACCTGACCAAAAAAAATCTTATCTATTGTAACACATTTTTTCTCTGACTACCTAAAGAAATTGTGAGTCTTTATTTAACTTTCACAAAACTTTTCCAAAGACAAGATGAATAGAGTAAAAATAAAATAAGCCTTGCTCCCAGTCAGATTATTGTAAGATTCCTTAGTTTATGAATTCTAATGTGACTCCCTTCTCTTTTCTATAGAAGATCAAGATGACACCATGTCATAATCATTCACCTGGAAGAAGAAAGAGAAAAGCTAAAGCAAGAAGACAATTTGAATTATGCCAGTAGCAAGATAATTTAGAGAAATAAATGTAATTGTTACACAGAAAAAGGAAAGCACTTGATACAGGAGAACTACTATAGATATAAATGCTAGGCTTTTGGGAGAAAATGTTTCACATAGGTTTAGCTTATAACAGGAATCTTTTAAGATGCATCATATGTTTAATGGCCTGGACTCTCCAAACTCTAGGACCACACTTTACTATATGGTCCTTCAACTGATTTATATAGTGCATTTTATTCTTTAAACATCTCACCTGCCCCGTTTTGACTCACCAACTTTATACAAACACAATTTTCTCAGTCTTTCCCTTTCTCTCAGACCATTTACTTCCTTTATGCATTTTATTTTTGCACTGTGGATCTCATTCACTCTCTCTGTATGACAGGGAGTCCTCAGTTAATGTACAGAGAGTCCTCAGTTAATGATCATAATTGGGACTAGCAAGTCTGTTACTATGTGGTAAAGTTAAAAATCACATGACCAAGCTGACTTATGATCATTTCTGGTTGTGATCATTAAGCAAACTGTGAGCAGTTGTTAAATGTGACATCACAGGACTGTGACTTATGAGTCCCTACAAGCTTCTCCACTGACTTTGCTTGTCGGAAGTCAGCAGGGAACATCAAAAATTGCATTACAGAACCACAGGATACTGAGGCCATCACAACTGTACAAGAGTCCAAATGCAAATCATGTGACTCGGGGACAAGTGATAGCCACAACACTGAGGACTACTTATAAGTGTCCTTGATCATCACTGGCATAATTTTGATTGGTCACTGAACCAGTAGTTGCTAAGAAAGGATCGTCTGTACTTCTTTCATAATTGTAGTGAATGTAGAGGAAGTCCATTTCAAAAGGTTCAGACATCCAGGAGTTGAGTCTGTAGAATCAAACACTGAGGAGCCAATCAAAAAGAAGGAAGGTTCTCCTCTCATATGGATTTTTATATATGAAGAAGCAATAATCTAACCTATAAGCCTAGCTAAATTGAGATATGTCAAGAGTTTTGAATTGGACAGCCCGATAGCTTGATTGCTCAATTCCATCAGTATGGGAGGAGATCATAGCTTAACTCAACAGCTACTGATGTTCCGGTAATTCCGTTGATTGTCAACCCAGATACCAATGCCTTGGTAGCCAAGGTGAACCAGTTAACTCCACAGTGACAAATTATGACAGCAGTTTTGATGGAAACACAAGATATAGGCCCCTTACAAAGTACCCAACAAAGATGGTGGGAGTCAAAGCAAATACAGATTTCAGAAGCTGAATCCATGAAGCTGGAATCCAGTAAGATTATTTCATCTGTCCAAGACAAGCATTATAGCATGCAAGGTTTATGTTTATATCGTGGAGAATTTTTTCACTCCATGAGAGCCCCTCTTCTTCTTCACATGAGCATTTTATAAGTAGATGCCATACATGCTCCAGATATGACTTTTTGAAAAAGGAGATCCCAGCCAACCACAGAAGCTAAAGCTTCTCTAGGAATTAAACAAATTCCTGACATGTAGAGCTTCACATCAAAATTCAGTCATTCCTACCCGAAAGATCCAGACTGTTGGTAGAGTACAATTTACAAGCTTTAATGGTGCTGTAGGAAGTTAGCACCCACCCCTTTCCTGGAAGAGTGAAATATTTTAGGGAATATGAAAAAAGGCAGAATATTATATTTCCCTGGATGAGAAATGGAGAAGCATATTTTCAAGCAGCTCCCATCTTCCTGCCCCCACCCTTTGTCAATGGGCCATTAAGGCCTGGGCCAGTCTATTCTACATAACAAAGATCTACCTCCTTCAGGCAAAGCCATAGTAGCAATTGCCAAAGATCCAACAAAGATAGGATTAGCTCTCTACACAATATCAGCAGAAACTCACCACATGTGACCTGGGCAGCACATGTGACCATCAGCCAGCAGGCTAGCTAAGACCCCCCACCCCTTGGGAGTCTGACAACCAATCAGAGTACTCTTTCTGGGCCCCAGGAAGTTCAAAGCCAGAGCATAAAACCTGAAAAACTCACTGTATCTGCCCTTTTCTGTCCAAGGAACTCAAACCATGTGATCCTGTCCACCATTAAACCATCTTTCCAAGCAGTCTCCATGTTTCCAGTGTCTGTTTCCCCACTTGGAGCAGAACCTAGAAGGATGTTTCTTCCAACAGTGCCATAAGGTTAGGGTTAGGGTGGTGCTATAACAAGTTCACTAAATTATCCACCTCTATCACATAGGCCTCACTATAGAAGTATTCTAAGATATTTTAGCTCGTGTGTCCACAAGTGAAGCCCAGAGCAGGATATCTGTTTCCTGAAAAGAATGCACTGATCACAAGGGTCAGTGCATCATACCATTTTTAGATGCCTGCATGCATTAGACCTTCTTCCTTTTATATTTACTCCAGAGTCTTACTGTCAAAAAAAATTCTTCTCTCAGCTCAGAGTTAGTTTTGCATTCAGATATATTTTTCTGCTTCCTTATAATGTAGCTTCAAGATAAACATAATTATATTTACTATATCAATGCTACAAAAATCCAAATGACTACCTGATAGTAGCAAAAGGATTAAGATGGATAAAATCTGTAAAATATGTGGGCAAACACTGACAGAGGCTTGGTTGCACTAACTCAACTTTATTTTAACTCAACTACAACAATAAGAACTCACAAGTCAGGGACTGACAGCCGCTTAAATACTGAGCTGTCACAACTGTTGAACCAATCAGGAGGAAGAGATTTCCCTCCTTTTCAGCTGCTCGCGCCAGAACCAATCACAAGCCTGGCAACAGACCGGAGGCTGTTAGAACTGTAAATATGCCGACATAACACCCCTTCACACCCGGAATGCGCACTCGTAGTCCTCCAAGTACGCGGGACGTTGACGCTGCCTCCCAGACCGTCTTATGCTTGGTGAACTTGTTGGTATGGCTGGCGATGCCTCGCCTGCCCGCTTCTGCTCAACAGGAAGTGGATCCTGTCCAGGACTTGAACTCACCGCCAGAGCGGGGCTGTCAGGTAAGACCGCCGGCGCGAACGATCGGAACTGTTGAGGCCGGCCGGCCTCCGGTCTGGGAGGAGGACTATCTTGATGGTGCGAGGCTGTGGGTGTTGACGGGTCGGGCGAAGGTCGAGTGTCTAATTCTGCAGCCCGTCTCCGTAGTTGGTTGACATGCCGTCTCCAAATTCTTCCGTCGGTGAGAAGGACCCTATAAGAATAGGGTCCAGTTATTTGAAGAATCTGTCCCGGCAGCCAACGGGGGTCTCTGTCAAAATTAAGTGCATATACCCTTTCCCCCAACCCAAAAACCCTAGGGGGAAACCGTGTCCCTGCAGGTGGGCCATGGGTGTAACTTGGGTGTAAGCGATCCAGGGTCGTTCTTAGCCGCCGACCCATTAGCAACTCTGCGGGGCTTTGTTTGGTGG